CCCCGAGCCCGCGGCCTGCTGCTGTTGCTGCTGGTGCTGCACGCGGCGCTTCTCGGCCGCGGCGCGGGCCAGGCGGCGCGCCTCGTGGGGCGGTAGCTGGCCGCCGTGGCCGCCGCCGAGCCGCTGGCCCTCGGACAGGAAGCCCTCGCCCGTGTAGCCCTTGAGCAGCAGGCCCTCGTGCTCGTCGCGCAGCTGGTCCCACAGCGCGTGGAACTTTGCGTCGTGCGGGCCGTGGACGATGTGGCTGAGTTCGTGCAGCATCGTGTCCGCCACCTGCTCAAAGGGCAGGAACAGCGTCGCGTCGTTTGGGTACCGCAGCCGGACCAGGATTTTTTGGCCGCGGTTGACGTTGAGGCCTGTGTGGGGGCACCAGCGCGCGTTTATTTGGGTTAGAGCTACTGTTTTTGAAAAATAAAAGAGAAAGAGTAGGAGAAAAACAGCCTTCCATGATTTCTCCTCTAAACCGCGTAGACAGGAAACAAAAAAACCCACCAAGTAGCTCCCGCTGGTCCGGGTAGAACTCGGCGAGCTGGCCGACCTTCCACCCCCTGGCCCTCATGATGGGCTTGACCAGCGACGCCAGCCTCTTGAGGCTGTGCAGGGCCTCCTGGTGGCGCGGCAGGTGCTGGAGGTGCGAGTAGGACAGCACGAGCGGATCGCGGTCCGACATGTTGAGGAGGGGGAGGGAGGGATGGGGCTGGACCGACTTGTGCCCTGCTCGGATTCACCTTGTGCCGAGAGGGTGGGAGGTAGAGGTATCCGAGTTTGAGGGGAGCAAAAGTTTCGCGATCCAAAGTGGCAGCACGCGAGCCACTATCGGACACAGTCTTTGTCTGAATTTGATCCGTCGAGAAGGTGTTGGTGGGTTTGGCGAGGGGCCTAGAATTCCCCAGCGCAGGTTCAGAAGCCGTCTGTTTCTTTTACATGGTGAAATCACAAGCTGGCAACGGATGAAAAAGGAGTAGCCTTGAAAGGCGACGACGGTAGGCCGCGGGGGCGTCGTCACCGTACTGGCTGCCTTGCCCAGGTCGTTCCTGCCATTTGCTAGCTTTTGCCTCATGTCGATTGATGTGAGTGGACGAGGCTTTGTAATGGAGGCTGTCGGCAGCTGGAGCTTCTGGAACGTGCGAAACGGCGGTCCAACGGTGTGCGTGTTGCCGCGTCCAATCAGCAGCGGGGCTAGCCCCTGGCCAGCCCAGACTCGAACCCATCTTGACAAAAAGTCGGGCTTGCTTTTACAAAGCCCCTTGCCCAAGATCAGGACTCGAGCACTGACAGAACCGACTGTAGGATATGTAGCCGTCCCCTGAGGCAGCAGAAGGTAGATCAGAGCACACATAGGCAGGGTTGCAAAAATTTCAAATAATAAAACCAGCATCCACTAATGGAATACCCAGTGTGCTATCCAGCCCGCGTGAGGATTCCTAAACCCTCCGTATCTATCCCTGGCAAGGTGGTTGTCCCCGGGTGTACCTATGTATGCACCGTGGATCCAAGCAGAAGCAAAAGCAACAACGCCCTAGAACACCGCCTTTCCAACCCGCTAGGGAGATGTGTCTTTCCCGTGGGTAGGTCGCGTCCGCTGCCCAAGCCAGTAACGCC